TTCATAACATTTGTCTTCCTGTTCAAGGAACATTTTGTTGTTATGACCATCTTAGGTGGGTTTCAAAAACTGCCTATTTTGTCATGAGCTTTCTTGTATTAACAGCACCCAACTGTCATTCCAGTTTCGTTCAAGCCAAATTTTATTTAGACAATATGATTTTGGTTTAGTTTAATTCATTTTAATGAACGTTTTACTTTCGGGACTGAATAAGCATATTGTTTTAGACCTTTCAACAGATTTGAACGAAACTTGGTATATGCTGCTTCTTGTAACCTGTAGTATCAATATGAGTTTCATTGACCTTAAGTGATTTCAAGTACCACTTTCTGAAGTTTCTGACTCAACTTTTATGTATAGAATGAGTTCTTAGACAGTACTTCTGTTATGTAAATATTATTATGTGTAAGTTCAAGGGCCACTTGTATATTTGACATTTACTGTACAGGTGGAAACATTTAAAGTAAGGTGTATGAGTACTTATTCAAGCGCCTAGTTCTCTCACTGTTTGCAGAAGACACGTTAAAAATGTAGCAGATGCTGTGCAACAATGAATATGATAATTCATTCAGTAAAAGAACTCATTATGGGGAGAGAGGTCAAGGTTTTATCCAGCTGGTGCATTCATAATATCCCTCTTTATAAACTTCCCCAGGTTGGCATTGCAGGTGTTTCAGTTGTAGAAAAACAGAAAAATCTGTTCAGTGAACTACCAGAAAATTCTGTTTTTGAAGGACAGGAAAATTAATTAAACATAATGTATAAAGTTGCATGTGTTTAACCCCTTTTCTACCAGTGAATCAATTGTACTTATGATGCAGGTTTAGCAAGGCCTGCCATAATTCAGTCTGGCTGTTGCTTAGAGGCTGGATTTCTCTTATAGGTCGTTGATATTATATTATTAAATTATGACACGAAAATGCGAATATTTGTGTTTCAAGCTGTTTTGCCCTCTTATTTAATACACAGAGGTTTCTGTTGTCACTGTAATTAAACAATAACAACAACAGTAATAATAATAATTCAATTCAATTCGTGTTTATTTATGTGCAAACTTAACAGCACAGTGGCCAATTACAAAGTTAGCACGAGTACATAGAAATACACAAAAATTAAAGAGCAAATTAAAAAATATGACAGTCAAACAATATCAATAAATTAGTAACAATTCCAAGAAAAGAAAAGAAAACAAAAAATAAAATAATTTAGCCTTAACAGGCGAGAAAAATAAAATAAGTACATTTCGAATGGTTATTCCATTATGTGATGAGAAAGGACAATACACATACATACACACATAGAAGTTAATAATAATAATAACCCAATTAATTCTTATTTATTCGTGTGGCAGCTCAACATCCTAATTTTAAAACAATTCAATTCATGTTTAATTATGTAGAACTTAACAGCACAGAGGCCAATTAAAAGGTTAGAATGAGTACATAGAATTACATAAAAATAATTAAAAACAAATACAAAATAATAATAATAATAATAATAATAATAATAATAATAATAATAATAATAAACAGTGCTTGCATAGCCTTAGCAACTTCTGTCATTGAGAGGGTCAGTATATGAACATGCAAGTACTAGGGTTTCTGTGGAGCTGGGATAACATAGTCAGTATAGCAACTAGCTACGGCTGGATGGCCGAGGGGCCGGAGTTCGAGTCCTGGTAGGATGAAGAATTTTCTCTTCTCAATGTTGTCCAGACTGGCTCTGGGGTCCACCCAACCTTGTATTCACTGGGGACCAGGGGCTCTTTCCCTGGGTGTAAAGCGGTTGGGGCATGAAGCTGACCACACCTCCATCTAGTGCCAAGGTCAAGAAAATGTGGCTCTATACATTCACTCCCCCATACCCTTTCATGGCGTAGTGCTTAATTAGTTAAGCACAGGACAACTTTACTAGGGGTTATGTATACCGACAGTCCAATCATAACATCTGTTACTAAAAAATGCAAGATATGAGGTAGGATTTGAGGTTCTCACAGTGGTGTATCAGTAAGCTGAGCAAGATAGCAGCTTGAAAGCAGGTGCAAGCCAGCAAGCCTCCATTTTCGGGGTTGAATAAGCTGAAGATGGAGGTGATATGTTTCTATGAACTTGGGTTATTCGGACCACTTGGCACAAAAACTAAAGATTAATGTAAATAGACGAGAGAGGGGTCCTAAAATGAGCAGAAAAAGACAGTTTACTAAAGAGGGTATCCAGGAGTTTAATTATTTATTGGAGAGGGAGCTATGGCAGGAGAGTTTTTCAAACTCAGATGCAAGTGCTAGTTTTAATGATTTTATGGACACGATCCTTTATTATTATAATATAGCATTTCCAAAAAAGACTGTTTATATGAAAATGACAAGGAAAAACAAATGGATTACCCAAGGCATAAGAAATTCTGGTAAAAGGATGAGACTCTTAATTGGTTTTAAAAACCAGCATAATCTGTCTAGGGACATGCTGGAATATATCACCAGATATAAAAAAAATTATAAGAGTGTTATGAAAGAAGCAAAAAAAAAATAGCAAATGATAAGTATGTTTCAAGGTCTCAAAATAAAATGAAAGCTATGTGGCATTTGAAAAAATGAAAGTTGAAAATGAAGTTGGTAAGTCATGTAAGGGTGATAAGAAAATCCAGCTGTTTAGCGGTACAAAAATTATATCAGATCCGCAAAGTATGGCAGATATGTTAAATAATTTCTTTGTTGAAATAGTTGATGACCTTTTAAATCAGAACAACAATAATAACAAAAACACACAGTGGCAGAAACAAAGGATAAACTGCTGCCCTAATACCATATTTTCCCATCCAGTCACTGAATGTGAAATAGAGTGTGTAACAAATAGTCTAAAAGGTAAATTATCTGCAGGATATGACAAGATACCAGAATATCTTGTTAAAAAATGTATAAATTATGTAAAAAGACCACTGGCTCATATTTTCAATGCCTCTCTGAGCTCAGGCACCTTCCCAGAAAGATTAAAATTAGCTAAAGTGATACCTCTGCATAAAAAGGTGAATATCATGATATTAAGAACTATAGACCGATATCCATTTTATCGGCATTTTCCAAAATATTAGAGAAACTGATGTATAATAGGCTAATGCCGTTTTTAATTCAAAATAATATATTAACAGAGGCCCAAAATGGCTTCAGACAGAATAAATCAACTGACACAGCAAGTCAGTCTTTTATTGACAGTATACAGAAGGCCTTAGATAACGGCCTATGTGCCATAGGATTATTTTTTTTATTTATCAAAGGCTTATGACGTAATAGACCATGATATACTTTTAGAGAAACTAGACTCATATGGGATAAGAGGCGTGCCAAATATGTGGTTCAGGTCTTACCTGTCAAACAGAATCCAATATGTAGAAATAAAAAACACTGACGGCAGTGTCAAAGCCAGTTATAATTCATCATATAGGAAAGTGAAGTATGGTGTACCACAGGGATCAGTGTTGGGACCACTTTTATTTTTACTATACATTAATGATCTTACAGAAAATGTTCAAGGAGCAAAGCTGGTTTTATATGCAGATGATACCAGTTTGTTAATTACTGGAAAAGATGAACTTGACCTTCAATATAAAATAATGAATGTTATGAAATAAATAAGGTTTCAAAAAAATAACCTTGTAATAAATACTAAAAAGACATTTGCCATGTCATTTCATTCAAAATAGCGGAGAGATCTGTTAAGACCACAAATAGTTTTTAATAATACAGAAATAATATATCAGTCAGAACTGAGATTTCTTGGAATTCACATGACAGAAACCCTAAAATGGTGTGCTCATGCTCAGTTTCTAAAAGCAAACCTATGCAAAGTAATTTATATAGTGAAAATATTAAAAGAAATAGTGAGTCCATATATGATAAAAATTATTTATTTTTCGAATTTTGTGTCACGTATGAGAAATGGTATCTTATTGTGGGGTGGGAATGGGGAAAGTAAAAGCATTCTTAAATTGTAAAAGCGGGTTCTTTGAGTGATTAGTGGTATTAGTAGTCGCACGTCATGTAGACAAATTTTTAAAGATTACAATGTTTTAACGTTGCCTTCGCTGTATATATTGGAGGTGACGTGGTTTATCAAAAAATACAAGGCTTTTATGGCAATAAAGTCAGACATTCATAATTATAACACACAAAGAAAATTAAATTTTCATGTACAACACTGTAATACAGCTCTTTTTCAGAGGAGTGTGATAAATATGGGAATTAGTTCGTATAATAAGGTCCCCAATCAAATAAAACAAAGGGAAAATTTTAACTCATTTAAAAAGGAATTAAAATCTTTTTTGCTGAAACATTCCTTTTATTCTATAGATGAATTTATGTCTTTTGATTCATCAAGTGTGTAAATGTAATATGTAGCTGATTAATTTGTTGTATTTGTGTAAAGGCAATGAAATTAATGGTAACTAGATCTAGATAATATTATTCAGATGACAAACCCCCTATTTTAGGGTGGTACAGTGTATACTGTAAAGATATGCACGACAATTAGATGTAAAACTGACAATTTCCCTATCCAAGTGGTTGTAATACCTGTATGTGTGGATTGTTGAATGATAATAAAAATGAAAAAAAAATGAAATGAAATGAAATGTCAGTTGACTTTCAAGGGACTACGTGGCATTATATCCCAGAAGATAGAATTCTTTGCAAGATATAAGTTTTGCCAAGTTCTTCCAAATAAACATTTTTAATGAAAGCAGTGGCAGTTGACAGTTAGTACTACCTGCAACCAGTGCATGCAGTACCCTATCAGCACTCTGTTACCGTAATTTCACACAGTTTCCCTACAATTGTATTGTGTAGAGAGAGAGAGAAATAAATGATTTTAACAATAGAACCTGATAGATGTGACAGACTGTACAGTGTCTTGTAACTTAAAGAGAAAAATATGTTATCACTTTGTGGAGTTCCACATTTTATGTGTATATGTATGAATTAGTGAACATTGCTGTGGCTTTTGTTCCAGGAACAAAATGGAAGTAGAACCTGAGGTGGGAGCAGAACACCTGATAGAGGAGCAAATGTTTGGGGTTCTGGATGTCGTGCTGTTACTTTCATTGCTGGGTCTTGGGGGTTGGTGGCTACTTAAGAATAGACGGCAGCCGGAAGAACCTTCAGCCACAAAGTCATATTCTATTCAGTAAGTTCAGATTATTACACTGTATACACCACAGAACCACTGTTTCTGTTGTGTCCTCTAATTTTCTGTGAGGTTTTAAAGATGTGTATATTAGTGGCTGTTAAATTTCTTATTAGTATTATTTCGGAAGTAATTTAATATTATGTTTAAGTGTCTTGTTGCACTGATTACTTAGTTATTTATTTCAGTCTCATTAATGCGGTTTTGATAAATGTGCAATGTCTGCATGGTTACTGTAACGCTAAGTGATGTAGTATTGTACCCTTTTTTCACTAACAAAGTGAGGTGCTAGAATTTGGTGAGACTGAGAAAAACTTGAAACTATGAATATCCAGATTTTGAAAAAGGTGATAACAGGATTCATGAAGCAAGGTAGATGGTCAGTCTGTAAAATACAGTGAAATGTCACTAATTCTGAATTTGTGATAATTTTGGACAACTGTTTTTTTTTTGTGCATTATGACCTTAATGATCACATTGCCACTACCTAAAATATTTTTAAGACTGATGTCAAAACTTACATTTTTACATTTTACTACAAATTTATTTTATGATATGCAATCTAAGTTTGAAAATGAAGTTCTATTGCTAAAAAGATGTGTGAAATCCATTTTATAATTTCCATGAACATGTTTTCAGTAGCACTTCCATAATTTGGACTGTCACTGATTTGGACAAGGGTTCTCTCCCAGTTAGTCTGAATTAGTGAGGTCTTACTGTGTATATTAAAAACATGTTTAAACTTTCACTGTGCTTCTCTGTGCAATTACATGCAAGTTTGAAATATTTATCCACCAGCTGGGACATTAACTAAAACTCATAACTGCAAAGAATGTACACAATTTGAATCATACTGTAAATTATAAGGTAATAAGTGCAGTATTTGAAATGGATCTGAATATTTCTGTTTCTTTCTGGTTTCAGATCTCAAAACACACTCCTTTGTCAACTTCTCATGCTAGCAATATTCACATCTGTTTTGATAATTAGTATTTCCATTCAGTTACTGAGCACATGCAACATTTACCCCTTAAACTGGGTGCACATGAATTACTAAAAAAGCATTATATGGAAATTGTGATCTTCTGGGTTATGATACTGTGTGGTTTTGTAGGTGGTTACCAATACTTTTACCTTGAAGTTGGAGGCAGTAGGTTCCTCCAAAATGTTAGTAATTACTTATGAAAACACATGGTGTCATAACCCAGGAGACCATGTTCTGATAACTTCTCTTTCCAAAATGACCATTAATTGCAGACCAACAAATCTTGGAACTCAGTCCACAGACAACTCATTCATCAAGAAGCTGAAAAGTTCTGGAAGGAGTTTGGTTGTATTCTATGGAAGCCAGACTGGTACTGGTGAAGAATTTGCTGGAAGACTTGCCAAAGAGGGTATTCGCTATCATCTCAAAGGCATGGTGGCTGATCCTGAGGAATGTGACATGGTATGTAGAATGACAAACTGTTCACTTGTTTTCAGAAATAGGTTACTTCCACTCTGACTACAAGTTGCCCAGTTTTAGAGTCTTTGTTTTTTTAGTGAAGAGTGGCCTAAGTATATGCTCACAAAAAGTAATTATATTTGCGTTTAGTTAATTATGTTAAATTCATAATATACCAAAATATGCAACACTGTAGCATGAGTTATCACTTTTTTCTTTATAAGTAGGCAGTATCTGTTTTTAATTTTGTCTGGGCCTGGCTGTCCCGAGTTCTATTGCATACTTTGCTGTTTTTTGTATAATTAAGCAAAGAAGCAAACAATTAGGCAAATGTTAAAATAATATTTTAATATAAGGATCACTCTTCTTCCCCATTCCTTCTTACTTGCCCACATAGTTATTCTTATAACTTTAATTTGATGCTACGTAATCTTTGCTGACACATAATTTAAAGAAAATTCATTAAGAAACCCTTCCGTCATAATAAGAAACAAATTAAATATGTGCAATACAAAAGACAGTCAAATAACAGGAAAGGATACGGATATATGTGTGTGTATGTGTGCGCACACACAGCTTTCTCTTGTGCATCTACAGTAAAGTAAGGCCTCACTAGACTGTGATCTATGGAATTCAGTTCTTGAAGCCACAGGCAAAACAGTGTTTGAATGAAATCCTTTATAAAATGATAAGCCGAATTCCAAGTTTTAGTAAGCAGATCTGAAGTATGTGACTTTCTGTGTTGCAGTGATGTACATTACTGCAAGTTCACAGTGTGTTCAGTTTAATGTGAAATAAATGTAACTAACTAACTAACTCTGTGGCTTTAGTCCACAAGCTAACTATACCGACCAATTAATTTCATTCCCTCACATATCATTTGTGGCAGTACCACATGTATGCAGTTAGCTTTATAAAGAAGTTCCTTTATAGTCATTCATAACATGAAGTGACATGAAATAAGATATGCTTGAATGCGGACAATAAAACTTAGAATTTACATGCACAGTACTGCTATATGTTTTCCAGTTTCTATGTGGATTTATTTTAAGTTCCTTTGTATTTATGGCAAGATGTGAAGTGAGTTTACAGAATATTGGACATTAGCAGCCATACTTCAGTTATGTACAAAAATACATGCATGATGATGTTCATGGGTTTCCTTAGTTTTCTTATGATCCTAGTAATTTTCTTTCACATTACTCTAAGTTAGCTATGTTAACAGTTTCATTAATGGAGTGATTGCTATTGTACAGTTAGTTCCATTAAACTTGTCAGTACTGTTAGGGACAAAATAAAACATGCTTACCAAGGACTGTTCTTTTAAATGTGTGGTTTTATGAAGACCTTATCAGTATAATTACAGTAGATTATATTTTTTGCTGTTTGGCAGAAAGAGAGCAATAAGATGAAAAGAGAAGTATCTTTGGATGTAAATTTAATTTCTGCCTTCATTAATATTCCTTGTTCTGAATAAATATTACTGTTCTTAGCTTCAAGCACTTTAATTTTAAGTGCATGACATCAACTGTGTTCTTGAAACTTGTAACCTTTTCTCCTAAATGATGTGCTGTTACAATTATGTTGCATCACATTCCCCACTGTTTGTTTATAATGTGTAAGGAGAATTTAATACAGTTATTTTTATTTTTATTTAAATAAATTATACTACCATTCTGTTTTTATGGAGTTTCACACTAATGATCCTCATTTCAATCTTTTTTATCATATTTATTTACTTTGCATACTATACTACTGAAAGGACTCAGTAGGAGCATTAGTATATTGGTGACCTTTGTATTTTTGTAGAGAAGTCACATAGATTCAACTTGTACTTTTTTCCTTGCAGGAAGAGCTAACAAACCTGAAGGACATACCCAATTCTCTAGCTGTATTTTGCTTAGCTACGTATGGTGAAGGAGATCCCACTGACAATGCTATGGAGTTCTATGAATGGCTTCAGAATAGTGACACAGATTTCACTGGTCTTAATTATGCTGTATGTATTTAAGGCTTATGGCAAATTAGAATGAAAAAGGTTGAAGCATAAACTGAATATCATGGCTTAGTGATCAATGTTCCTACTTGTTCAGAGGTCCAGATTCAGCCTTTGACTGAGGCTGGCTATACTGAAAATGGTTCATTTGTAGTGATGTTGTTGAGTTCTGTGCCATCAGGATTATGTAAATAAGCAAATACTTTGAAACTGCTGGCTATTGGAATATTTAATGAAGTACACAATAACATACATATCAATGAAACTATTTCTGAAGCAGGTAAAGAAGTTGGCCTTGAAACAAATGTAGAGAAGTAATATATGAAAAATTGTGAAATGAAAACTACCACAAAGTTATAAAATGTAAGTAATTAACAAACAATTTAAAAGTGTTCCAAATTTAAATTCAGAAAGTGCTTGGTATTTTTCAGTAGAAGAACTGGTAATGTCCCTGTCCTTTCAAAAACACTGAAGGTTACGGTTTTTTTACTTAATTTGGATTGATTTTGGGAACATGATCTGGCATGGGTTTCAGATGCTGAACAGGAAGTTTTGGGGGAAATATTCAGACCTTAAAGGGGACGAATTAAGTGGGCAATAAGGAAATATATGACCAACACTCTTCCTGGCTGGTTCAAAGCAGTTAAATCAAGGAACTTAGAGTAAGTTGGAGATACAGTTCAATGGGGAATAGAGAAACATATACAATTTTCTTTTTCAGTTGGAAACCATGTAAAATGTTGTCACTTGGAAGAAATGAGATGGAGATAGAAGGATGATATCAAATATGTCTCTTTAAAGTGTACTGGCAAAATATTAACTGGATTGAACTGACACAATATGAGGGCCAGATGACAGGTTTTGATATAGACTATGTTGAATTTTGAGGTTCTGTTACAAGAGAACATATCTGCAAACGGCTGTCTTGTTTTGTGAAGGAATGTAAAATAGTTTGCAGTACATAATGATATTAATGCAAGGAAACAATGTAAACGGGATGCAAATTTCACTCAGGGTTCTGAACTATATCGTCTCAAAATGCTACTGAATGTACATGTGTTTCCATGTATAGGCCCTATATGTGCACTCTCAAAATCATTTCCAGTGGCCAATACAGATACAGTTCATAAAAAGTAAAGCTATCCCTGTAACAGGCCATGAGGGCCCATAGGAGTGTGAGATGTTGAGGTTCCCACATTTTCTAGACAGTCGGCTCATAGATGGTGGCAAGGTTGTCAGCCTTATTCCAAGAATATTACTGGTACTCATTTCTGTCAGAGGCTGAGTCGACCCCAGGGCCATAGTGCGGCTGGAAGGATTAGGTCAGATGAAAAGAATTTAGTGACCTCATCGGGATTCGATCCCACAACCCTCTGGCTTGTAGCATAGTGCCTCAACCAACTATGCTACCATGTGCCCTTGATACATTTCATATAGTTTGTTAATTAATGTTGACTCTTAACAGAGGTTCTGATAACACTTCTGAGGAAGTGCGACCGAAGAGCATTGTTTAGAAACTTTTTCTACCATTAAAACTTGCTCAGTACAACTGGATAACTGTGACTGAAGATAAGATAATTTTTTCTAGATTAATTGTAGAGCTGCTTGTACTTGAAACATATGGTTACTTTGATAAGGAACAAATGTCAGATTTGCCCAACTCATTATATACCTTTAATGAGGTGCACCTTCACTATCATGCTTGTGATTTTGTACTGTTTATAATATGTGTTCATAGTTGAATGGTAAAATACTGATAATACATTTTTGTCTTACTCATTCACCTTTTTGATGCCAATTTTAAAAGTTAAATGAATTTTATGAACAAACTCAACTGTACAATTAGTATGCTAGTCTGTAATTCCAGGTATTTGGACTTGGAAACAAGACTTATGAGCATTACAATGAAGTGGCAAAATATGTAGACAAGCGACTGGCTGAGCTTGGTGCAACACGAGTTTTTGAACTTGGTTTGGGAGATGATGATGCAAAGTAAGTCTTCAGTTAAGCAACTGCATACATCAGTGAGTTAATATATTGCAATCTTAAGAGTACTTTGTAGTGACAATGATCATTGTTCAACTTGCTCTGCATATGGCTGTAGAAATAGTTTTAAAAGTTACTTATATTTCACAAAATTCTGAATATGGAATCTTACAGTTTTTACCTTTCAGTTCCTTAAGATAACATGACTCCACTTCTGACCCTATGTGCTTCCAGTATCACTTTACACCAACTCTGCCTAAAATATTGTCATGTGATAGAGTGACTGTAGGTGTGGTTTGGATCAGTAATTGGATTTACCAAACTCTTACAGAATGTAACTACAAGTAACAGTAGTGCTATTGCTAATTCACACACTCAGTAGTTCACTACAGCATGTGCTAAGTCTTTTCAGTCTATTCTGTCTTCACCAGTTGTCTGGTAATGGCTTCCAACAGCAGATGTTCCATTTATTCTGGGTTCCTGAACTATCCTCATGCCTCAGCTACCAGGTTCTGACAGCAACACTCTGACTAACTCACTCACTCACTCACTCACCAACCAACTTGCTCCACTGCATTGCATTAACTGAACTGTCAGAGACGGTCAGTCGGTCAGTCAGTCAGTAAGTCTTGGTGTCAAGCCCCATCTGGGGCTCATGAACAGATATTTATTACTGTTTGACAGTTACAGTCTTGTTTTTTGTGGGGTGCCCTCTCTGACGAGAGGACGGGTCTGTCATTTGTACATGCTGCTGGCCCTTGCCAGTGCACCCTTTCTCGGGTCTGAGTCCCTAGGGACTTGCAACCATATTTTACTGTCTCGGATTTGAGACTTCCCTTTTCGTCACCTCCTATGACTCACAAGGTCACGGTGAAGGTATTTGACCCTGCCTCCACACGGGTGTAACTGAACTGAGTTTGGTCAACTGAGTGATATAGTCTTGGAGCAAATCACACAGAAAACACCACTTCCAACATTACTTCCGCTGTTGCACGCTGGCCGCTGTTTAGCAACGACCACTGTCTTGTTGTTTGTTCTGTGGTTGTTGCCTAGCAATGGGTCCGTATACCACAGTACATATCCTTGTTACCATGATGGCAGAGGCTTAAATGGTTACCTTTGTTTACATAGCAACAGCAGTTTCCAGACACAAGCTTCAGAGATACTGTTTGTGATTTATTACAAAGGTAGTTTCCTTTATGTTGGCCTATTACTGTGATTCTTGGATGACAAGCGATAGGGACACATAAGCTTCAAATAATTAACAATATTATTTTCAGTTTATGACAGAAATTCAATGATATTTTTGTATTAAAATGCAAGGGAAGGGATGGGGAATTCACTACGAACAGTCACTAAAAGATTCCAAAGAACTGTATACTATGCATGCAGTTAGCAACACTAGCAAAGTACCCACTCAGATTCAGAGATAATTTGGAATTATATTCAAAACTATCCAGGATATTTGTGTGTAATCCACTAATTGAAAGTGAAAACCAGGGAAGTTTACAATTTTTTTTTTCATAACATTGTTTTCCAAGCCCTTATGTGCCTTTCTCTTTCAATTCATAACTTTATTTCCTAATTTTCTTAAGTAATTTATAAATCAACTAGTTGTCCTTGTAACATTCTTCCATAGTGCTGATACGTTTTTCAGCTCCTTATTTTTTACATTTCTGCCTTGTATCACCACAGCTTTAAATCTTTTAAGTAAAGTAATTGCTTGAAATTACCTCAAGATACACTAATGAACTGATGAATTGGTCTGTGCATAATATTTTTATATTAAGATATTAACTTACAGTTTAAATAGCCTATGTAAAGAATGATCGATGAGCTGGTCTTAGCAGTTTGTGTAACCTTGGAATACATCTAAAGGGATTAAACATTGTGAGGAAGAAGATGAGAAATAGACTAATGGTGAATAATTAATTTAATAAAAATATTGATTGTGTCAGTCCTAACTTTATTGTTTATCATGTTACAGTATTGAAGATGATTTCATCACATGGAAAGACAGATTCTGGCCAGCAGTTTGTGAATTCTATGGTATTGAAGCTACAGGCGAGGATGTGAGTGTGAGGCAGTACAGACTTACAGAGAATCCTGATGTTGGTAGTGATCGTATATACACTGGTGAAGTTGCACGTCTGCACTCACTACGAAACCAGAGGGCGTAGGTATTGCATTTATACAGTTTTAGCCTTGTGTAAGACCATCTTGATCTTTGAAATTCTCACTAGGTTTAAATGTTGAAGGTTACATGAAATTTGGTTACTTCTCAAAACTTAAATATATCTATCTTTATGGGATGGAAATTTGTATTAGCAGAAAATCTGTAAAACAATGGAAGTTTCCTGCCTTTCATAATTATGTTCTGTTGTTTTCTGCAGATAAGCAGAAGAATTTCAAGGAATTTAAGTTCTTCTTAGTACTTTTTCCCTCCATTAGGGGTACCCACTGCAGCAAATTAAAAATGGAACCTTCTGGTTTGTCACATTTTCTTTTGAAGAAAACAATTTAAATGAAGAATTACATGCTTCAGAATGTATTTTAATTTTTTATATTGATAATATGTCTTTTAGGAAAATGAGATGCTGGTACTCAGGTACATGAAGCAAGGAACAGATATTTTGAAATCTTTTTGACAAAAATTAAACCTATACAACATCAGAATTGGCAATGCTGAATTTCTCATTTGAAAGTCAGAAGAATGGCTACATCTTGCAGTCGTAGTTTCTTCATTTTAGATACATTATTGTTGCAAGTATTCAGTAAGACATTTTATTATTTTTGTTTTATTGAGAAAAGGTTTTGGTACAACATACCGCCAGAAAGCCCTGTATTTTATTATGAAACTGTTCCAGGAAATTTACTGAAGTTCATAAATCAAGAGACATGTGGTTCTTCTATTTTTGTTCAGGGATTATCTTTGGTTATCCCCTTATCCCCCCTAAAACAAATACTTATTCAAATTATACCCTTTCTTATGTTTTTAAATATTATTTTGTTTCCAGATGTATAAATTAGGTCTGTTTTATAAGAATGTACATTTTCACTCTCTTGTGGTTCAAAATAATACTGCAAAAGAATACATAATAAAGCAAAGCAGCTTCATCTGTCATCCCCAGATGCCAACAGAAGAGAATATATGTTTCACACTGATTTATTATAAAGGTCTTATGACAGAGGAAAGTGAACTATAACAATGAATGTGAGTAATTCACTGTACAGCTTATGCTGTCATTTTTTTTCTAGGCCATTTGATGCAAAAAATCCATTCCTTGCAACGATCAAGGTAAACCGAGAATTGCACAAGAGCGGTGAACGATCCTGCATGCATATTGAGTTTGACATTGAGGGCTCCAAGATGAGATATGACACTGGTAATGCAAATATTTCAGTAGTAGTAACAATTGAAAAATACAGCAGAACTCTACTAGAGTTGCTCTATAAGAAATATCTCCATAAAAAGAAGTGCTGATTCACATGATGAATAATAAAATACACTTATGTGATACTTTATATAAATTCTTGTGTAACTGAGTTTAGAAAATTGGGTTCCTTGAGTGTAACCATATGGTATATGTATGAATAAGGGGTGAAATAAAGGCCGCGCCATAGCTCAAGTGGTTAGTTGCTAGCTTCTCACCGCGGCAGCCCGGGTTCGATCCTGGGTCTGGTCAAGTGGGATTTGTGGTGGACAAAGTGGCGCTGGGGCAGGTTTTCTCCAAGTACTTCAGTTTCTCCTGCCAATCTTCATTCCACCAGTTGCTCCACAATCACCCTCACCTATCATCTTGGGGTGGTACAATAGGCCAGAAGTGGCCGCAGTACAAGGGACTTAGTACCACCCCACTAGCAATTAAAAAAAAAGGGGTCAAATATGCTTGTTTTATTTTCAGGTGATCATCTTGCTGTGTACCCTGTCAACAGTGAAGAGTTGGTGAATAAACTGGGAGAGTTGCTTAATGTGGACTTGGACACAGTGATCATTCTCACCAACACAGATGGTATGAAGACGTGCTTATGATAGATAGCTAAGTTAGCATTTCACAAAGCAAAAGCAAATTCCATAGAATGATGTTTCTCTGTCTTTTTAATCTGGTATATATAAATCTGCAACAATTCTATGAGAACAAATTTTCATAACAAACATAACTGCCTTCCTTGCTTAAAATACCATAAATGTGTTTTCTGTTGCTTACTTTTATGATACTTTGTTATTAACAGATAGCCACAACCATCTGGTTGACAAAAACTGCAGTGTAGTCCAAAAATTTCCATTGAATTTTGCATAGGGCTATGCAATAGCTTACATGCTTTCTTAGTCTTTCCGACATGTAGTAACAACCATTCTGGAAAGCATCCGTAATACCATCGTTCAGATTTTTTACTTTCTATTTCCTGTCATTCTCATAGTCTGTAGAGTAAGAACAGAGCAAGTTACCTGGCTATGGAGACAACTACCTTTTTGCCATTGAAATTTCCCGTAACACTAGAGGACCATTATGTTCATCATTAAGACTGGTGCCTTTATTTGTGTATTGTAGTGCTAGACCACACACACATCCATCTCTTGATCCACACAGCTAGTAGGATATTATTCTGAAATGACCTTATTTGTGTGCATTTATCAAATCAGTCCTTTTGTAGAATAATGGTCTTTCTTCAGTAGTAATGATTAATTCGGCGTGTACAAGTTCCTAAAATTAATTTCCATGTTTAATTATATTAGTAAATATTTTATCTTATTTTGGATTTTGATGGGCTCTCATTTTATAAGATAACAGTCACCTGTTCAAATGAACATACATATTCACAATTTGTGGAAAATAACACTTCTGCTCCTTTTGAGGAATGGGATGAAATATGCAGGTAAATATGGTACTTATTTGAAGGAATGCGATAAGTGAAATATGGCACTTGTATCCAGGTGAAATAGTAGCATTTGATTGTTTTTATTGAATTCTTCATTATTGTAATACACATCTTCTTTCTTGTAATATTTACACTCTGCAGTGTATGCTTAGTATTTACAATGAAATTGAGTAACTGAATATTTAAGTATTTACCAGTGCAAAGTTTATAAAAAAAAAACAAGTGAATATGAAACATTTTATCCACAGGGAACTTTCTGACTGATAAAGTCCCAGTAGAGTGGAAGTGTATTCATAGCATCACTCCACAGAGAAAATAACATGAATGTAGTAGCTGATGTTATGTTCTACCAATGCTTCTTCAGGACTGTGTACGTACATTCTTCCGTTGCAGGTTACTCCTAGCTTCCTCATCTCCTCTTACCACCCAGGAAAGTAGTCATGCTAGATTTCCATGGTGTGGTCACCTGGGTCATTGGGCACTAGGCCCTCCACCATGAAGAGGTGAAACCCATGAGAGGGATGATGTAATGTATTTTACTTTTATTGTTTCAGAGGAATCAAGCAAGAAGCACCCATTCCCATGCCCATGTTCATATCGTACAGCACTGACACACTACCTGGACATAACCTGTAACCCACGCACACACATCCTTAAAGAACTTATTGAATACACTAAGGATCCTGAGGTATGGATGCCACCATTATGTAGACAGCCGACTTGCAGTGAAGTTACATAGCTTTATTCATTCTCACAGCATTGCATACATTGAGACCCATATGAGCAATGCTAGTTTTCTGTTGTGTAGTGTTTATTAGTGCCTTAACTTAATGTCCAATTAAAAAATAAAAGTCAGTAATCACATAAATGTGATTGAGTGATTCTTGGTTTACTTAATGATACTTCTGCAACAGCATCAAGTGGCAGAATGATTATTGATGAAGAACTGAAAAAGATGTCAAAATAAGTAATTGCAGCCTGTTTTAACATATCTTTGCATTTACCTGGAAGAACTAAAGGAAATCACAGAAGAACTGTGAGGATAGCTTGTCTCCGAGCCAGAGTTTGAGCCTGGAAAGCAAAATTGCTAACCACCTAATTTTGATGTTCAGCCTCTTAAGTGTATTGATTTCGTAATCATAATAGTTTCTAATAGTTCTACCTCTGATGCTACTGATCCTGAATTAAAATTAACTTGAGTTTCTTAAAATATGGAAATATGGCTAGGCATAGTGAATCAGAATGCAACTGTCAATACTAAACTAATATGGTATGCTCAGTATGAAATGTATATGTTGTGGACAGAGATTTGAATGAAGTTGACGATAGTAAAGTTGCATATAAGTCTTCATTGCCCTATCAATATTTATTATTATTATTATTATTATTATTGTTGTTGTTGTTATTATGATGGAGGGGGTGGGTCTCCCCATGCACTGCGACCAGTTAATTATCTATTGTGCGTCCCCCTTTAATTATTCTACCAGTCGCCATGCCCTTCCAGTACTGGTGCTCACTATCAGCCCCATTCTGCCAGTGAGGTCGGCCCTCTCTGGCAGTGGTACCCAATGCTTCCCGATCTACCAGAGGAATTGGAAACTACTTGGGTGGGAAACTTTGCCTAATTTTGCTCAGAGGTCTCCTAGAGACACGAGGATCTTTTACGTACTGTAAATCTATGACACGGGACTTGTTCCCTGAATTTTTCCGCCCTTAAAAATTCCATGACCTCCGCCGGGTTTGAATCCGCGTACCTTGAGTCATGAGGTGGGAACGTTACCCCTAGACTACGGAGGCCCCTGCCCTATCAATAACTTATTATTGTGAAATAGTCAATTTGGTACCATTAAGCAGCTTTAACAAGTAAGCAATAATGGTCAAGAACTTCAGGAAATATTGATTGAAGCACAGTGATATTTTATTCACACTAGTTCTCCTTGTAAGAAAATAGTAGCAGAGCTTTTCTTTCAAAAAAGAAACTGAAAACTGATACCTGTTGCAGAGGTCAGTGTTATTTTGAAACCTCAATTAGTACTCTGAACTCAGAAGAAGGAAAGAAAGCCTGAGAAACCAAGTTCAGTATTGACATAGTATGCAAGTATAGTAGGAAACTTACTGTGTGATGTTCTTAATGACACAGAAGAAGAAACATAAGATTCAGTTCAAATTCTTTAACAGTAAATCATTTGTCGAAAGAGTTGTTACAATCTTGGAAAGAATACATGCTGGAATCATTTGGTATGCCTTGCCCAAGGGGTCAGTGCAAGCTTAAATACCACCCAAAGGGATATGAAGCCTCCCCTCACTCCCAATTAATAACATATCACATTACTCAAAACTTCATCACAGTAACAACATTTTCAGACACTGTGACTAAAACCACGATCAGTGTCATAATTCTTAGAGCAGGTATAATTAATCGGTTACATTACATGTTTAGATTACTACCAGTTTTTTTAATTCATTTAGTGGGGGGTGGAGTCCAACTGGGTCCACTTGGCATGGCAGCCAGTGATTGGCCTATTGTAGCCTGCCCTGGGTGATTATGATGATGGAGAATTTGGTGGAATAAAGATTAGCAGGGGAAACCGAAGTACTTAGAGAAAACTCACCCCAGCGCCACTTTGTCCACCACAAATCCCACTTGACCAGACCCGGGATCGAACCCGGGCTCCCACAGTGGGAAGCCAGCGACTAACCGCTTGAGTTAATGCCAGTTAATGGTCATGATACAGTCATGAGAAGGTATGACTATAGATGGCATTTGGATTGGATGTATTGATCACTTTAGCACACAACTCTTAACTATAAGTAATTATAGTGCCATTGCTAATCACCACACTTTACAAATTACTACAGCAAACTCTCAGCTTTCACCGGTCAAGCATTTAGGACTTGAGGTTCTCACAGCCATGTATGAAGAGTTCTGTCTTTTGGAATATGACACTGTAGTCCGCTGAGAGTCAGCCTGGAGGAACAAGTTGCCTCCATCTTCAGTGTCAAAGAAAAAACCAAGCAAGAAACCAACATGAAAACAGCCAACAAGAGGTGACTTGTTCCTTTGCACAGTGTTTTATCCCAAGAGAAAAAACTCTTCATATTAAATGCTGATAGGAAGATGTGGAGAATATTGAAAGGAAGCGAAGTTGGTGTTGGGCTGAGTGTGGACTGAAAACAGTGATGTCATATTTATGAAGCTGGTGGTAATGTAATGCCAGGCATGTATTGAGTGGAGCATTTGCAGTTTCACCATTTTTGAAGGTAGGTTGATTGTTAGGATGTACAGAACAGGGTCTGTGGTTGGTATTGTGAAGGTTGAAGGACTTCTGAAGGATGTTATTTACAGTGCAGGAAAGCTAGAATTGTCCATTTTCTTAAAAGAACTTTCTGTAAATTGCAGTATCTTTAATATGAGTTGCTTAATTTGATCTTTTTTATTATTAAACTTCAACCTTAACTCATTCTTTTCAGGAACAAGAGAAACTCCGTTCCATGGCTAGCACAACTCCTGAGGGTAAGGAGTTGTATAACCAGTGGATTATTCAGGACAACAGGAATATTGTGCACATTCTTGAGGATCTCAAGTCATGCAAACCTGCACTGGATCATTTGTGTGAACTACTACCCAGACTACAGGCTCGCTACTATTCCATTTCATCTTCACCCAAGGTATATGATTTGTGGGTTTTATTGTGATGGAAAATTTAGATTGTGGTTTTTCAGGTTATGATGCCATGTTGATCTGTAGATGCTTATCAGTATTTTGGAGGACCCTCCTGCCTCTCTTCATCATCAGGTTACAAGATGGAGATAGGAGGTTCATCTGAAATGGTAACCCTCTCCAAGACAAATGTGGTGTCATAACCCACAAGATCATAATCTAAAAATTCACCTAAGGTAGTTTGCAGGTCATTATAGCTCTCACAGAAGTTAAGTTTAAAAATGTCTTTATTTCAGAACTGTAGTTTGTATGATGTTACAGCAACGTAATTATCTTTTCAGTTATGCCAGTCATGTAAAATTTTTACAGGTGTATCCTACAACTGTGCATATTACAGCCCTCTTGGTTCAATATGAGACTCCAACAGGTCGAACAAACAAAGGAGTTGCTACAAGCTGGCTTGCAACCAAGATGCCATCAGAAGGAGGATTGCCCGTCACTGCACCAATTTACATCCGAAGGTCCCAGTTTAGGTATAGAAAGTAGTCACATTTTGTTTGAAGTTGACTGAGCTTACCAGTATACTGCTGACCTATTTAGACACAAGAGTCAGGCCTTAAGCTTTTGTACAAATAATTAGAATTTTCTTAGTAGGATGGGCTGAACTGATAGGGTGGCATAATACATATTGACACCAGACTTAATGATAATACTAGTTACAAACCTTTCAGTTAAAGCTAAGAGCACTAATTCTTTCTTTTTTGATTTCCATGGTATTCAAGAATTAGAAGTTTGCATAATATTTGTGAAGTTTCATTTTTCATCTCTTGTGTATAAATGATGAGCTTCATAACTTGTAGTCTTTGCCCAGTACAATCAGAATGATCAAGTCAAGGAGGATGAGATGGGCAGGGCTTGTTGCATGCATGGGGAAGAAGATGAATGCATATGGGATTTTGGTGGGAAGGCCAGAAGGAAAGAGTCTACTAGGAAAACACAGAAATAGGTGGGAAGATAATAGTAAGATTGATCTTAGAGAGGTATGATAGGGTGGTATGGTCTGGATTGATGTGGCTCAAGATGGGGGCCAGTGGAGGGCTCTTCTGAACATGGTAATGAGCCCTCAAGTTCCATAAAATTTTGGGAAAATTCTTGAGTAGTTGTGCAGCTGGTGGCTTCACAAGAAGGGCTCAACTCCATGGAGTTAGTTATCCATAAAACTGATCTTTATATTGTTAAATAGAAGTTGTTTTCCTCTGGCTGCACTTCTGACTTCCACATAACACAGCACATTATTTTATGCATAGCAGTTAATGTTTTGACTTTGTTTGTCCAATTAATAATGTAAAATAAATACCCAGTGTCAGTATACCTTGCACTGACATGGATCATTTAGTCAGTTGCTTGGCAGTAGCAAGGAACATCTTTGTGATGATTAATAGTACTGTCTGTGAATATCAAACCATATTTCACAGTCTTGTACATCCACATTTTTAATTCTAAGAAGTCTGCAAGTGATATGATGAGCCATTTGACATATTTAGAAGATCTAATTTCCTGTAGTTTCATTGTCATTACATTTTCCATTTACATAAATTAATTTTATGATGCAAATTGCAAATTCATATTATCATGAATGATTTACTTTTACAGATTACCAACAAGGGCACAGACTCCCATTATTATGATTGGTCCAGGAACAGGCCTGGCTCCCTTCCGTGGTTTCATTCAGGAACGAAATCAATTGAAAGAGGAAGGTAACTATTTATGTTAAAAGCCTCTTGTGTATGTATTTATATTGTGCTGGTGATGCGGACAATTTCTTGTCAGGGAACAGAGATCTGTTTTCCAAAGAACACTGGAAGCTAGAGTATGAATGGGTGAAAGGTAGTTAGGGCTGCAACCTATAAAGAGTCTTGCTTGTTTTTGTGTTCATCCTTATCAGTGAAGATTTAAGTTACTGAAGTTTTTAAACAGAGTTTGTTCTTGGTTGTATTTTCTTTTCCATATGAGCACATCTTATGTTTTAGTTGCAGTGCGAACTAATGTGATGTTTTAGAAAAATGACCCAGAAATCAAGATAATTTGTATCATTAATATTTAAGATATTAAATTTTTAAATACTGATACAAGAAAAGAATTAACATTTTATTTTGTCTAAATATTGTCCTTCCCTGCAACCAAGTAGGGGTATTAATCTCTAAACTTTTTACAAACATTTGGAAACTATGTTTCTCAGAAGTGGAAAAGAATATTGTGAAAGAGTTGTAAAATATAAGGGAAGGAATGTTTTGTTTGGTTAAGGTGTTTATTTCAGGCATGATGTAAAGTTATCTCGTAACACTGTGACACTAGTCTTACAGCATCATATACACAAAGGCCAGAGGAGATGGGTAACTTATCATAATATAGAAGATGTGTTATATCATAAGTGTAACTGGCATAAAACTGAGCTCTTGTTTGAATCATAGGTAAAGTTATTGGAGACACAATTTTGTATTTTGGCTGCCGTAGGAAGGCCGAAGACTTCATTTATGAAGAAGAGCTCAATGAATATGTCAAAAAGGATGTCCTTACGGTAAGTTACTTTATAAAAAAAGTAAGTAAGAAGTAAAGGTATCCCTGTAACAGGCCATGGAGGCCCATAGGGTTGTGAGATGTTGAGTTTCCCACATTTTCTAGACAGTTGGCTCTTGGATGGTGGCAAGGTTGTCAGCCCTACGCGCCGGCTGCCCTTTACCCCCAAGAACATTCCAAGAATATTCCTGGTACTCATTTGTGTTAGAGGCTGAGTTGACCCTAGGGTCATAGTGCAGCTGGAAGCATTAGATCACTTAAGTTACTTCATACAGATTCAAAATTAAACATACATGAAGTGTAACATCACACCATAGGAAGCTCTATTTTGATATTCAACTTTTTCACAAATTTTGACACATTAAAAATTAATTTTCTTTTTGATGCAGGGGATTGATAGTAAATTCAGGTAACTTATGCCTGAAAATCCTTTAAAGGTATGAAAACTGTATATGTTAGAAAGAAGGATTCTTTGTCACTGATGTTGTCTGTATCATTGTTATCAACAATACAACAGAGTGTATATCCTGTGTTTAAAGTTGCTGTATCAGCTGAAGCATTTATAAACTTGTATGACATATGAGAATGATAAGGAACTGAAAATATAGGGGAATTTGGAAAGAAATAACCAGGTTCATTTTGAGTTATGAATTTGCATGGAGAGACTGAGGAAAATCACAGTAATCTTCCAGTAAACTATGAACTAGGTACTCTGAAAACATTATCCAGTAGTAGTAAAGGTAAAGCTGTCCCTGTAACAGGCCGTGAAGGCTTGTATAGTATCTACTGTAATATAATGCTTAGTGGTTTAAACAATTTGTGTATGGACATTATGGGTACTTTGGTGAAGTACTGGGTGGACTGTAAGAGAGAAGCTAAATCTGGAACCCCTTATCCATTCCTTCACCCAGAGTCAACTGGAAATATAACTTTATTGAGTGTCATAATTACTGTGAGATTTTTAAAGCAAATCATACTTCTGCCATGTATGTAAAATACAGGAAGAGTTGTAGTTGTAATGTTGAACACTGCCATTTCAATAAGAAGCTGTTTTGTCACACACCAAAACCAACAGATGGTTACCAAAGCTTGACCAGTGCTGAAGTTAATCCTGTCTTCCTCTCCACTTCCTCCTCCTCCTCCTCCTCAGAAATTTCCATTTTATATGGGTCATCTAGCAACCAAGCATTTCCAGGTCTCTCTTTCTCTTTTCTTTCTGCATTACTTGGCCGGAGTCATCTATAATTTTTCTTATTTCTTCCATCTTTTTTATTTCTTTTTATGCATGTGGTAGCTTAGTTGGTTGAGGCACTATGCTACAAGCTGGAAGGTGCAGGTTTGAGCCCTGATAAGATGAATTTTTCAATTGTCCTAATCCTTCCAGCCATGATTTATTCTGACCGTCTTACAGTATTCACCTTACTCTTCTCTCTTGCACTACATGTTTCAGCACTAAAGTGCCATCTTCAGGTGCTTTTCAATGTACGTCGAACTACTGCATTGCATGCCCTGTTGTCTTTATACTAAAATAACTAAAATATATATTCGTCATATATATTGCTAAATTTTAAATATTAAAAATGTTAAAACTGTTCAGGATTTGTCATCCTTATGTCGTATTTCAGTATGCGGGTCACACCTATCTTCTTCTGTCAGAGTATTCTTCCTACTTTCATGTGCATTGTGCTTTGTGTTGTGTCTTACTCCTGTGACTGCATGTGTTATACTCCAGCCATACTGTGGCCCTAGGATCAACTCAGCCTCTAAGAGAAGTGAGTACCAGGAATCTTCCTGGGAGGTAAAGAGCAGCAGGCTCATAAGGCTGACAACCATACTGCCATCTGCTAGCCGACTGTCTAGAAACTGTGGGAGCCTCGAAGTCTTGCAACCCTATGGGCCTTCATGGCCTGTTACAGGGATAACTTTACCATACCTTTTACTGTACAGATTAATTTCTTGTCTGTATTACAACTTTCTTCTGTATCATCTGTGAATTTTTCCATGACATTTTAGCAGATCTGATCATCTTTCATGCTGCTCTTTTCATTTATGTTCTCTTCATGCCTCATTTGTCTTTAACACTTCCATAGTTGTCATTTCCCAAGATGTACCTATCCCTTTATGTTGTTTTCCTCAGTCCTGTACTTCTCCAGCTGTTAAATTATATATTTCTAAAATTTTCCCTTTATCTTATTTTGAAATCCTTAATTTCTGTGTTTTATAATTTGAATTTTTAATCTTTGGTGATGTCCTTGCGAATGTCTTAAATTAGTTTAATGTTTTACAATTTCATAGCAAAGGTCTGTGGTCACATTTGAAATTAATCCCTGGCATCACTTTAATGTCTTTTAAGAACGTTTTAAAATCATTTGTAATAATTGTATAAGCTCTTGTGCTGCTTTTCCCATCCAAATTATATTGGTTCTTTTGTTGCTTGCTTAATTTTGAAACCATCTGGTACCTATAATACATCCATTTCTTTCTTCCTTATTTCTATTACCCTCACCATGCATCCCATTATCCTACTCTGTCATTTCCCATGTGAGCACTGAAATCCCATATACGAGTATCTATACTTCTCTCCTCTTTAATGACTTCTGATAGGTTACTATTAAACTTCTCTTTTCATATCCTCAACACAGCCTGCTTGAGATGCACAAATCTATATAAATTCCATCAGCTGCATTTCAATAAAACCTTAAAACTTTTATCTTTCTACTATTTATGTATTGTACACCTGCTTTTAAAGTTTCTTTGGGAAGCAGTAGATTTTAATACCAAAGCAAGAAATTTAGCACTGAGATAGTGACTTGGAATGACTAAAATTCAGTGTTAAATGGGCACCTTTAAACTGAGGAATAGTAAATGGGAATCCCAATGTATTTTGTTGGCTAGGTGCCTTGAGACCATTATTGTTCCTCTGTTTCTTTCTATTTCTTACCGTTTCACCAAATTTTAATTATGGCTTATTTGAGCCGAATAACTTATATGAAGGTGTAATTCAGAATTATATAGTAAATACCTGATATTTAAAGAGTGTTGAATATAACAAAAAATATGAGACATTTAAATCTCTTTTCAGATGCATGTAGCATTTTCAAGAGATCAAGCCCATAAGGTCTATGTGACCCACTTGCTGCAGAAGAACATGGATGAAATATGGAGAGTCATAGGAGAAAACAATGGCCATCTGTATGTATGTGGGTAAGTGAAGCAGAGCATTCTGGTATATACGTGGTGCAATCCAAAAGTTCCCGAAATATATTAATAAAAACTATTACATCTTACCTAGATCTTATTCTGCACCATCACCTTCAAAGTAGTCCCCTTGGGAGCGCATACACCGATCCCAGCGTTTCTGCCACTTTTCAAATGCATCCTGGAAGTCTTTCTTTGTTAGGGTGTTTAGTACCATCTGCGTTTCCGCTTGAATTTCCTGAACTGTATCAAATCTTCGCCCCTTCAAGTTGATTTTCATCTTGGGGAAGAGAAAGAAGTCGCATGGAGCTAAGTCTGGTGAGTATGGTGGGTGGGGAACAACTGCCATCTTGTTTTTAGCCAAAAATTCCTGCACAATGTAAGCCGTATGTGGTTGTGCGTTGTCATGGTGGAGTACCCAGTCGTTCGTGTGCCATTTCTCTGGACATTTTCTCCTCATGTTCTCCCTCAAATGCCTTAGAACATCGCGATAGGACTCTTTATTGACTGTCTGACCAGGAGGAACGAACTCCTTATGAAAAATCCCATCAATATCAAAAAACAGATCAACATGGACTTAATGTTGCTCTTGACTTGTCGAGCTTTTTTTGGCCGAGGTGAAGAAGGGCTCTTCCATTGCGACAATTGCTGCTTGCTTTCAGGGTCGTAGCTATAAACCCAACTTTCGTCACCAGTGACAACCTTCGAAAGAAAGTTTGGATCCTCTTGAAGCTGTTGCTGAAGTTCCCTGCAGACTTCCAAGCGATGCTGCTTCTGTTCATTTTGCAGCAGTCGTGGCACAAACTTCGCCGCAATCCTCATGTTCAGTTCCTCTGACAAAATTCGTTGACATGTACCATAACTTAGTCCCAAGGTGTTACAGAGGTCTTGGATGGTCAGTCTACGATCTTGCAGAATCAGATCTGTAACTTTCACGAAATTTTCTGGTGTTTTGCCCGTTGACGGCCGTCCCGAACAATCGTCATCATCAGTCAATGTTTGGTCATTTTGAAAATGCTTATACCAGTTGTAAGTTTGTGTCTGGCATAAACTGTTTTCACCAAAAGCTTGCTTCAACATTTGGTGCGTTTCTGCAGCGGTTTTCCCAAGTTTGAAACAAAACTTTATACAGACACGCTGCTCTCTCAGGTCATCAATCGCAAAACCGCAAACTCACGGAAACACAACGATGGAAATACGTTCACCAACAATAAACCCAACCTCTCAACTTGACACCGCTTGCCACACTGATTCAAGAAGGATGTGTGAGGAGACACCTAGCGGTATTTCGATGTACTCATAACCATTCCCACGCAAAATTCAAATTTCGGAAACTTTTGGATTGCCCCACGTAAATTGAAACATGAAATAAATCATTTACAAATATTCACTTGGTCATAGTGTAATCTGTTTGGATGGACAGACGATTAAAACAACATGGCTCTGATGAATTAACCAAAATAATGTAATATTTCATTTAACAGTTAGATAATCTATGCTAGGTCCTTTATTATGTTACCAAAATTCACCATACCTGCATACTGTTAGACCAATCAATTTAGATGCCATCTGTACACATTTTAGTAAATTAGCATGGTAGGCCCAACTTGAATTTGCTACATTCTTCTGCATAAGGAAAAAGGTTTAACAACAAATATGTTTTCATTATTTTTCAGTTTCCTTTATACCAAAAATATATTGCTTGAGGGCACGTGGTATTTAATGTGACATACCCCTGTTGTAATTTGATATACGTAGGGCAGTCAAAAAGTTCCCGGAATTCCCCTGCAGATGGAGAATGAGCGATAAGATAGAGCACACACTGTTGTGGTGGGGAGCTCAGCATGTCTGCTCGCAAGCAACAGGTCTGGACAGGTTTCAGTGTGCAGTGTTGTTACTGTTCTGTTTGAATTAGACGTGAGTGTTGGTCATTTGGCGCAATATAGCAGTTTGAACAGTGTGCAAACATCAAGTTCATGTGCAAATTGGGAAGATCTGCTTCAGAGACACAGTTGGCCCTGCAGAAATTTTACGGTGCTAGTGCACTAAAGAAATCCGCAGTTTAGAACTGGTTTTCCCGGTTTAAGAATGGGCAGGAGACGTTAGAGGATGACCAGCACAGCAGGAGACCTTTGACATCCAGAACCGAAGAAATGATTGGAAAAATGTGACAGCTGATTCGATGTGATCGAAGAATGACCCTCGTGGAGTTGGAGCAAGAAGTAGGTATTTCTCACAGATCTATTCATGCCATTTTGTCCGATGATTTCAAGATGAGACGCGTCAGTGTGAAGTTTGTTCCAAGGCAGCTGACCACAGATCAGATGGAATGTTGCATGGTGGTCGCTGGCGATCTGTTTGACAACAGCATGCAGAACCCGACGTTTCTCAAAAAGATTGTCATTGGTGTTCACCTACGACCCAGAGACGAAGATGCAGTCATCAGAGTGGAACACAGCGTCGTCTTCCCGGCCAAAATATCACGCCTTGTCAGATCCAAAGACAAAGTGATGCTCATTGCATTCTTTGACATTGACGGTTTGGTGCACCATGAGTTCGTACTGCCTGGACAGACTGTTACTGGCCATTTCTATGCGCAAGTTTTGCAGAGGTTGCGCGATGCGGTTCACAGGAAGCAGCGCGACATGTGTCAGGGACAGTGGTTTCTGCATCACAATAACGCACCGAGCCACACATCACTTGTTGTGCAGCGATTCCTCACCAAGAAAAACATTCCTGTCATCACTCAACCATTGTACTCTCCGGATCTCGCTCTGAGTGACTTTTGGCTGTTCCCTAATCTGAAAATGGTCCTCATGGGGACACATTTCGCAACCATGGAGGACATCAAAATGAATGCGACAGCTGAGCTCCAGAAGATTCCAAAAGAAGCTTTCCACCGCTGATTCCAACAATGGCAGGATCGACAGAGCAAGTGTGTGTGTGCGCAAGAGTCCTACTTTGAAGGTGATTAGGTAAGCGTTGCCGTATGTCCTACCATTAGAGTGTTATACCACCATTCCAGGAAGTTTTTGACTGCCCCTCATATTTTAAGTCATAGCAACAAGAGTGTCACACAAAATTAATATCTGAGGGGCATATTATTACAGCTCACATTCAGAAAATAAAACCATAATCAGATTTCGGTACAGAAGCAATGGCTGCTTCTTTTTCAGATAAAGTGCTAGTACTTAGAGGTGACAGGTAGGAGAAGTATTGGTAGTGGCGGGGAATGCAGTACATGCGCTCTCAAAAGGAAATAACTTCTTACCTCATTGTGTTGCATAGTGATGGTGGTTTAGTCTCGTTGATGTTCACACATCCGATGTTAAGTTGTAAGTGCTGAATGGCAGACTTTTATGCACTATACACTATTATACACTTTCACTGTTATATACATGAAGAGTTTATTTACATATTACACGGGTCTATTCTAAAGGGGCAACACCGGCAATGTCCAGATTGATATCATATCCACATGCCTGTTCTTCCTTGTCACCACCAGATGAATCGGAGCTATCATCAGAACTGTCCACACTATACAGCCAACATGGAAGACAAACT